GTGCTCAGTGAACACTGTGGGGATCCCCCTGTGTGCTCAGTGAACTAATCAGTAATCTGCACACGCTCGGGGTAACGAGGCCGGAGGCATTTTAATCTGCAACTTGATCCAGTGTGCTTTTACCGAGACGCGCTCTGCTAAATTGAAGCGGTTATACAATCTGGTCCTTTTGTGTGCCATTATCAGGCATCGGTAACACACACCAGAGCAGCGTGTCTGGGGTCAGCGCTGGCCGGCCCGTTTCGTGCCCTGCTGTAATACTACCCTGGCTGAAATTTGAAATGGACTGCAGCCGAGAGGAAGCGCCGGCGGTATTGCATTACCAGTGAAACCCCTGTTCATGCGTTTTTTAGTTTTTAATTTGCTGCCTGCAGCGATAAAAAAAAAACAGGCCAGCCCGCGCTGTTCTGAAGCACAGTAGCTTCTAGATCAGCTAGACTAGAAGAGGCGGAAAATTTGAAGTCCCTGTTTTTACCATCGGGCGATGTCTATTATTTCTATCCCCGTCGTTATTTTATTCAGGCGTAGATTATCATTAATGCATCGTGGTGACTAATCGCTTCTGAAAATCAAAGAGTCTTTTGGCGGGGGGGGGAAAAACACCACATCTATTAAATCTTACTGCAGCAGCTCCGTGAGCGCCGTGGAGCAAATTATTTTGACAGGCTGCTGCTCTGTTCACGTCTGCGGCCTTGCTGTGTGCTTGCGGGAGCGAACCGGTTTCGGGACGGACAGTAACTGAAGCCCAAATCCGAACTGGGTTCACGCCGAGCACCTGCGACACGGTATCACATGAATACATCTCGTTCGTTTGATATCGCCCGTATATTTAAGATGCTTTTTTTTCTTTTTTAAAAGAAAAATGTCCGAGGGGGACCTGTTGTCCACCTCCCGTGTTCCTGTTTCTTTGAAGTATATCTGGGGGTTGGTGTTTTTTTTTTTAGGGGGGTGACGGATATATAAGTGAGAAAAACAGCTAGTTTAAGAGAAAGCCGACGCAGCGTGAAATCTATTGGGAGAAACAGCAATCGGCGCAAAACCACCGAAAATGGACAGCCGTATTTATTTTGTCCACGGGGTAGTGTTGGGAATCGCGCTCCTGCAGATCTGCGCTCTGCCCGTTGATCGTCACTGCAGCGACGGGAGATGTCCCTCCCGCGCCCAGCAGGGGGCGCCAAATCAGAGACGGTCCTACAGAGCAGTGCAGAGAACATCTCGCTTGCCACTTGCTGATGGCTTTGAGAATCGGGGTTAGGCAGGGCAGCAGACTTTGGCTCGGCCTGTGCTATGACACGCTCCCTGTTACGTCTCTGTCAGACATAAAGATTGAAAAACATTTCATTCCATTTTCTTCTAATCCTGCAGTGCATTTCTTTCGGTTGTGATCCAAATGGCTTACTGCTCTGATGCCTGAGTGAAACAGTCAGGCAGGGGTTTGGCAGGGAGAGCCGAGAAACATCTTTACACCTCCCTTGCCAGCAGGTGATTTTTCTTGTAGTTAGATTTTATTATGATTATACTTTATGAGCTGGGTGAGCACAAGGCACTGGAGCTGATGATCACAGCAAGACATTCATATTTAGGATGGATTCCTCCTTAGGCCAAGGACTGGTATGGGATTTTAGGAAAGGGATACTCTCCGAGAACAAATAACTGGCATTTTCCACTGCCGAGCATGGATCCTATTTCAGTGGCTCCCTCTGTTGGTGGCCTGAATTTAAGCTATCAACGTTGCAGTGAAAAACACAACTGGTTCCACATGGTGTGTCCCATTCTATGGAATTTCCCATCCTCTGCACCTGGAAAGGTCCAATCTAAGAGGTCGTATAGGCAGCCTTTAAATAATCAATTTCTAAAGGCCTGGAACAATTGAACTATGGTCAATTAAACAGGTGGCATGTTTACGTAAGTAATTTAGAGATACTTTGGGACAAAACTCAGAATATCCTTCAGCCCTCAAGAACCGGTTTTCCCTTCATTCAAATATTACTTGTTTAACAATCAATTGCTTCAACAAGTGTCCCTAAACCTTAATAAAATGTGATTTAGGGTGACCCATTAGAATAACTGGACTGGGACTCTCTAGGACCAGGGTTGGAGACTCACTGTATTACAGCTGAGGTATAGAGATACTGACTGGGTGCTTCCTGTAACACACAGCTGTCAAGGTATACAACAGTATTTCTGTCTGGTATTACGCAGGTCTGATGAATCTGCAGCACAGCTGGTGTTGACTTTCTGGGGGAACCGTGAGCTGGGCACCCCCCAGTAGTAGCTTGACCCAGAGAACAACTGTCTCCATGCACTTTGCAAAAGAAAACACATGTAAAGATACGCATAAAGTTGTTTCTTTTCACAGAAGTGGGTGGTAACAGTATGTTTATTCAGATTACCACACATGGATCCAGCAGTACAGAAACTTCCAGTCTTCAAGGCTGTGGCCTGAAGCTCAGTTCTTCGTGTGGCCGATTGAACAGAGGACAGAGGTCCGTTCCCTGACCAGGTACAACAGAGGCCTCATAACCCAAACCTAAGGTGTACAACGTAAGCAGCTTAAAGATTAAGCACTGGCCAGGACGTGACAGTATCACAGCTCAAAGGCTTTTCAGGTGGAATGAGTGGGACAGGTTCCAAGCAAGTAAGTGTTCACTCGCTGTCCATTCCTGGAATGAAACAGCATCGCTTTTATAAGCCGTCAGGAAAGGAAGGTGACAAAATTGCCCAGTTTGTTTTTGTTTTATCCATCTATTCATTTATTCCATTGTTCTGTTTCTTTTTGTGCTCCTGAAATCTACGGGGGGGAAGGGGAGGAGAAACAGAGCTCCCGCAGGGTCAGCGTTTCAATGTCACAGATGCTGTAATGGATCGACGGCTATCTTTGAGCTGCAAGGTAAGCGTATTCACAGGACATACCAATGTCGCCCCTCTCATACATGTCCTGTAGCCATCTGCTGATTATGTCTGGTTTGTCTGTGGCGAGTTGTGTGTTTTGCCTCTCCAAACCTGTGATCAAAGGAGTAAATGTCATTGAGATCATTGCAAAACCCAGTGAAATCTACACTGGCGCCATTTACGCATATGTAAATTCCCCGTTATCTAGTTAACGTTACATCTTCTTATGCGTTTGAGCAATAAATCTGCACTTTCTCTACTGAGAGTAGAAAAACTAAGAAAAGTTCAAACGTCTGCAAGTCAATTGTTGTTGCTTTGTTCCCCAGTTCATCCTACACAGTTTTGGTAAATTGCTTAACTGATATGAATGTTACCATTTGTGCAGCTAATGGAATCTGACCAAAGCCGTTTTTTCCCCATTGTGTAAATTTATTGCCGTGTAATGTAGTTCAGGAAATGCACTGTAGGCCAGCCTTCTGCTTTTAAGTGCACAAAGCAAATGGGCCACAGAGACTCTGAAGTGCTTAGATTTCTGCCCTTTTCATCTGTCTGCCCTTGAACGGGGTAATATAGCCTACCACTGTCCAAGCCCTGCTGGTCCAACTCTTTTCCATACCAGTATAGACATGCAACTGCAACCTCTTTCCTGCCATGTTGGCTCTGAATGCCCATGATTGGCAATGAGATGTAGACGTTGCACCAGAACTGGAATAATCTCAGTTTCCTTCCTCCTAGGAACTGTTTTACCCCGGCCCCAGCCCCCCCTACACCACCGTGCTGATCGTGGAAGACTCCTCAGACTTCCTCTGCTTGCTGGGCAAGGACTTGAGGTACTCCAGGTGGCGTCGTGCATCCTCCTGGTTCTGCCTGACGTAGTACACCAGGTAGGAGATGACCATGGTGAACCAGGCAAACATGGTGACCAACATGGCCACGTCGGTAGTCTTCTTCAAGGCAATGCAGAAGTCCTTATCCTTGACCAGCAGGAAAGGGCTGCCCTTGTACTCCTCGGGCAGGGCAGTCTGACAGATGATTCCTGCCAACGACAGTGGCTGGAGCTTCAGTTTGTGCAGCTGGGTCCACAGGGTACAGTCGCAGTGCCAGCGGTTGTTGGAGAAGTTGGTCCGGGCCCGGAGGCTCTCGAAGGCCTCCGAGCTGAGGGTCATGAGCTTGTTGGAGGAGAGGTCCAGGAACTCCAGTGAGCCAGCCAGGCCCCGGAAGGCCCCCGGCTCCAGTTTGGCGAGCTCGTTGTGGGACAGGTCCAGCTCGCCGAGCAGGGGCAGCTCGCGGAAGGCGTGGGCGGGCACGGTGGTGATGTGGTTGTAGTCCAGGTAGAGCTGCTGGGTGTCGTTAGGGATGTCCCGGGGGATCTCGGTGAGCCCCAGGCTGCTGCAGCGCACCGTCTTCGCGCCCCCCGGCCGCTCGGAGCAGTAGCAGCCCCTGGCGCAGCTGGTGGCCGCGTGGTGGAAGCAGAACGTCAGCAGCACCAGGCTGTGCAGCAATAGACACATCACCACAGAGTAGCGCAGCAGCCAGTCCACCAGCAGCGGCATCGTGGGATACAGGCATACTCCTGGAAGGAGAGTCCCCTGTTACCATCAGAGAGCTGCTCACATCTCACATCCAGTCAGCCCTGAAGAGGAGAGGCAGGGAACAATAAAAGAGCCGAGTGGCAGACATACTCCATCACACCCGTAAAAAAATCTGCAGCCATCTTCTCCATTTGCATCACACTCTGCTTTGACTAATTGCAGAAGTGCAAAGAATTCAAATGCATCTGATTTGTTTTTGAAATTGTGATGTTGATCTGGGCAATGGGCAGATGGGTAAAAGATAGCACAATCCCTACAAGGAGGGTGTGACAGTTTGTCTTGTAGTATCCAGGCTGGTAACACAGAGAACCATATTCCTAGGTTTACACGGGCACTGTGCAAAGAGAAGTGCTCACACCCTCACAGGGAATGGATGCAGGGGCACAGCACACGTGCAAAATGCTTAGAGCAGTCCCAGGCCCTGTTCAGCGGAATCAGACAGTGCTTCTTCCCCTGTCGTGCTGGCTGGCTAATTCAGATACAAGGGGGTTCCAGACAAGGCTGTCAGGACCTTGGACAGCTACACAGCTGCACAAGAAGCAGCAGTCATCTTTCACCCAGACAAGCAGAACATGCCTCTTGTGGGACTGAGGCCAGCTGTTTCTTGTGTGTTAGAGTCTGTGCGCTGGAGTGTTCCTGTATCATTCTGCAGATAAGATGCTGCCTGTCTCGCTTCAAAGTCTTGCGGGAGCATGTTAATAAGCATTTCAATGCAGATAATGCTCTTAATATTAACGGCTATTAAGGCTGCTAATTGGTAGAATATCCTGGGCCAATGAGGCACAATGCAAAGGTCCTTAACTCTGAGTTTCTTTGTTTTTTTTATTAAGATGGAGGGTTATCCCTCTCCTATCCCAAATGGAGCACCGTTATACAACCCTCTCATCTAATTATGCATCTTTGGTATGATAACACATGACCATCTTGCCCTAACGCTCTTGAAAAATGACTGCTGACCACTTGGAAATCCACTTACCAAGATTAAAAATGAAATCAATCTCCAAGTACCTTTTAGTATCGCATTACTGACCATCCCCCGAGAGGAACCCATCAAACAGGCCACGCTGTAATTCAAAGTCTCATCAGATGCCAAGAAATACCATTTGTAAAAAGTGTCTTCAGAATATATCCGAAGGCTCTCAAGGGTCTCAAAGTCTAGGATGAGCCCCGTAATCTAGACCGCGTCATTAACCAGAACTCACTTGAACTATCGAACAGGAATTCCTGGAGATACGAAATTCTAAACACCTCACTTATAAAAAAAACAGCTATCATTAATGCAGTACCAACAACGGGCAAGAGAAACGATATTTTAAAAACATAAATGCGCATCTTTATAAGCACATTAGCATACAGTAACAATAACGGTTTTCATTAAGTTTCGATATTGTAACGAAATTGGTATGAATCGTCTTTCATGACAACAGGGACACGTATATCCACTCAGGACACGGGAAAAGAGTGTGGTTACTTTCTTCTTCTTGAGACCGTGAAAAGTGACTCACTGGCTCAAAACGCTGTACAGTTCTTGCAATGTTCTGAAATCTAAAAACTATAAAACGATGTCCATGCTCTTCAGAGCTTGGCAAGCTCAAGTAACGCCACCGCCCTGTTTGGGCTGGGAAACAGCAGCCATATTTAAGGCGGAATTTGCGCACAACCAAACTTCAGGGGTCCGTGTTCTTGCCCTCTCGCTGATACTTTGTGCATTCTCGTGTCGATGCCTGTTAGTGTAAGACACAATTCGGGAAATGTGAAGAGTTTTGTGAGCTCTAAAACGAATGGCGAGTTTCAGAGGTGAGAGGGTGAAAGGTCGTTGTGACGACACAGGAGCGAGAAGAGTCAGGCTGCCGAGAGAAGGAGCGTTTTAGCGAGCTGAGGAGTTCAGGTCATCGATTTGTGTGTGTGTGTGTAGCTGGTATTGTGCCGTGTAGGAAAAGGCCGACAATATAACTACACTCCGAGGGAAGAGTATTCTGCCTTCGTCTTTAATTCTTCTCCGTTGTAACGGCACCTGATCTTGAGGGGGGGCCGGCGGGGGACACATGTTGCGCTACCGAAACGCTCTGGTGTATGGCTATATCGCACCTGCCCACCTGAAAGAGAAAGTACGCCGCAGTATACAGTATACACCTGGGAAATTACCCGCTTACATTAGATAGAATATCCTTTTGATCTCCTGCATCAGCTGACACCTACAGCGATGGCTCCCCAGCGCTGTCCAGAAGCCGACATAGGCCACTAAACCTTTACTAACTTTAACTTTTTATGTCACCTTTTACATAACCATTACGTTCGGTTTTAATTAAAAAAGGAAAATTCTAAAGGGCCAGGAAAGGCTCTTGTTCGCGTGGGTTCTCAGTAAACCGAAAAAACAAGACTTGCTAACTTTTTTCCCCCCGTTTTGCGAAACCGCGAACACCGCCGACGTTTCTTCGCCTGATCTATTTATACAGATGTCTTCCAGCAGCTCTTGGCTCCCCGACATCTGCTTCTACGGCTGTCTCGCAATCGCGTTTCGCAGTCAATTACCCGCTTCCCGTATAGAATTGCACCGCCTTCCTGTCAAACCACGATCCAATGCATAGCTTTAAAAGTTAATTAGGGCCCGTTGATTGTGTAAATAAAATAGGACTACATATTAGCAATCCATATACGTATTTATTCAGTATAGGCCCAACAGCGTGTTCTGATGCACTGCAGACGAAAACCGCCAGATATATAAACGATTGCATCTCCGATGTTGGCCCAGCGCAGTTAAGTACATCGCCTACCCTTAACAATATTGAGGGCAATCGTATTGGTATAGTCAAAGTCATTAACACTTAACAGTTCCAAACCGGAGAGCTGTTGGGTTCAATAGGAATGTGTTGCACACACATAATAACGATTCATCAGTGTCACTGAAACGAACACAGGGCGCACAGAGGTACTTTACAGTACCTGACTTTTTTTACCTGTAGCGCTATGCGTTAACAACCTGTTTTGTGTATATGGGGGAAATACTGATGTAACGTATACATTAGGAATAGAAAAGGTTTTTGCAAAAAAAAAACATGAAGCAGTCGCTCGATCTCCACACAGTAGACTATTCATGCATGCAAGCTTTGTCAACTTAAAACGTGATAGTAACAAAGATACAATAGACAAGGAGAAATTGTATAAAAAAGTAACTTAGTATTAATCTGATTTTTTGTACGCCCAATTCGTTGTGCTTATGTTTGTGAATGTGAAAAAAGGGATGCTATAAGCGTCAATAGAACTACAATTGCGTATAGAAATAGGGGTTTAAGACCGTTTTGGGAGTGCATTTTCCCAATTGTCTACCGCGAGTTTCTGTAGGACGGCCAAACGGGCGAACAAAACCGACGGGCTCGGCGCTCGTCCGGCGGGCCCGGGACCGCGGCGGCCCGGCTGGGCTCCAGCAGACGGACGGCGGACCGCGCGGCGCTGCTAGGCGGCAGGAATGGGTCGGTCGGCCTCGGTCATCCGTCCGTGCAGAAAGAACACCCTTCCTTCCACATCCTAGGATCTAGCCCAGATATTCCCAGTCCTCGCCCTGGAGACCCCCCACACACACACACGCGCTCGTTTACTTTTTTCCCCGGCCAAGCCCTCAGTTACACATCCATACCCTTAAGTGGCTTCTTACGAGAATCAATGTCAGCTGTTTTCCTTTTAACTACTGCATTTCATGACCAACATCCAAATCCAAACATTCGAGCAGGACAGAAACAAAATGTTCCGGTCAGGCAACTTACTGGTTCTAAGGAGGCTTCAGTTGAATAAGCAGGTGGAGTTGGAGTGAAAACCAGCACGTTTCTATACTCGTCGGAAATGAGGGGCAAAACGCGCTCACTTTTGCGTGATCTTTGCAGCGTCCATTTTTGGAGTTGAGTTGCTGTTCCTAAACCCCAGATTTACCTGAGAACAATATTGAATCCGAGTCCGCGGCCAGTTTCAGATGGAAAGCTACCGGACAGCCCTGGAACCCCGACAGACTGTTTCTGTTTCCCTCTCGACTTTGTACCCGAAGTGGGGTCTCCATCACTGCTGTTTGACCGCGGACCGGCGATACAGAGACTAGGCGGCGAGATGTAATGCGTGCATTACAGCCATACAGCACAGCGCCAGCCCTTCTCCTCTCATATACTACAGTATACAGTATATGTATTTATCACATGGATGCTCAAAAACTCTCCACTCACGGATTTTTCCCTCCGGAACTGCTCGGCTTTGCAATACGCGAGGGAAGTTACAGTGGACGGAAAAGACCGTCAGAGCCCCTAAAGATAAAAGACGACGCCCCGTCAGCAACCTTTTACTCCCAAAATCAATCCCCCTGACCCCCCCGCGCTGTGTTTAACACCCCTTAGCGACAACTTGCCTGCTGCGTTATATTAATCTCGACATCAAAGTTCCGGCTACGCGTCTAGAGCAGCTCGTAAAGTACTTTCTCCTGTCACGTCCTATTAATAGAGAGGCCGGTATTTTGAACAGATAGTCGCAGATTAATCGCTCCTCGGCCCAGTGCCCCCTATCGGGACCGCGGCGGCATCGGCTACGACGAAAATAAAACTGTGTTTTAGACTATACTCTGGGTCCGCAACAGCCCTTTTCTGTCCAACAGCGAACGTCAGGGTTAGAATACACTCTGTGCCCCCGGTCAGATGTGAAGAGCACAGCATGAGCGTTTTCAAAAGGTGGAGATTAAAGAAGAAATGAACACCGCTCGTTAATGATTAATGATTTTCGTTAACATGAGCAGTAACTTCTATAACCTAGGGCCGGAGCGATCACCCATTTACACTTACTTCAGGATCTTTGTAATGTACAGTACTGATCTATTTTTTTTTTCAATAAGCCGATCCCCCTCCTCACTAGAAATGATTATTTGAGTAATTCCTGAAATCATATAGGCCACTGATGATTTAAGGCTGTTTATACAGTATTTTCCGTACTTCCCGTACAACATTAGCAGTGCGCCAACAATAGTAACGCGCTTTCTCATTTTCCGTGTTAAGTAATTTACTATGACTGTTATTTTACCCCCGATCGAGATGAAATCAACACAACCTTACCCGTTTATCGTGGAGAGAATGTGTCGCCTTTTCCCGTCAGAATTCCCCTTTAGGCAACAGGCATTGACGGGCTATCTTCCTCCACAGACCTGCAATTAAAACGCATAAACCTCAGCCCTCCGGTTTCTTGTAAAAAGGTTGAAAACAATCGGACGTGCTGTTAGAAAGTTTGCCTTATAACTGGAAGGACGCAGGGGAACTCACCGGGATCCGCGATCCGGGATCCGCCGGGCCAGATCGTGGTGGTGCGGGTTAGACTGGACCTCTGGAGGTATTTTACCGTGAAATAGTCTGTTCGGACAGTGGAACCATCGATAAGGGTCTCGGATCAATACATCTGACTTCCACGATTCTTCTTAAAAACAGCCACTGAAACAACACACAATAACATTCATTGCCGGGTTTTAAGAGGCTGATTCGCTCGTCCTTAAATCGTGTTTTTTTTTTAAAGGCTACTCCATGCAACGTCTTTACAGTCCTTGGTTTTGTATGGTGGTATTTTCCTAATCCGCCGTCTGGTTGGCGCAGCGGTCAACTTGATGGGCTTGCTCACGGCAGCGGTATCGGTCCGGCCTCTTTCAGCCCGAAGGCAGGCGCAAGCGGGGATAGGAAGCAGAAGCCCGGGTTTCGCGACGTTCCTCGCCGGCAGCAGGACTAATATCCCCCTACCTCTGTGGACGGCGCATCCCTGCCGCCGAGCTCGCCAAGTGGAGACCTTTGCGATCAGTCGCCTCCTCGCAGAGCCGTGAGCGCGCTCCCGCTGTCTGCGTGCTGCCCGTCCCCGGTTTCTATGCAACCATCAAACTAGGCAACACGACAGGAAGCAATCCGGCACCGGCAGGAGAGGAGAGTGGTATTGATAGTTACAGCGCAGTAAGCCACTCTGCCAATTATAACAAACAACTCGCAACGCTACATACACTAAGAGGCGGGGAGGGGCCGGGGGGTATCCCGTTAATGTGCTGTTTTCCACGCCTGGCCCCACTGCTTTTCACCGGCAAACGCAGACGGAGACCGATAACAGCTGCGTTATAAACAATACCCTTTGGGTATTAAAGATTAATGGTATATTTACCTTGTAGCTATTTATAAATATCCTGCTGGTTGTCACATATTCAATGCTCTGTCCTTTCCTGGCAGCAACAAGTCACGTTGTTATTGTATCATATCTTTCCTGCTCTGGCAGGATTGCGGTGTGTTGTATCAACTAAGATGGGCAATTTCTCTCCTCAGTCAAGCGCTGAAACATGCCTACAAATGAACTGAGACACATTTCACATCGGAGAGGTTTAACCTGTTTCCTGTTAAGAGAGTAAATTCTACAGCGCAGGAGCTGAACAGCTGAAAAATGTGAGACTGAAGTTAATCTGGGTGACAAAACTGTCACAGTCCCAGGTACCATAGAAGCTCTGTTCTATACTGGTACCATACAGGCCCAGTACAGCACTGTCCCAAGTAGTATAGAAGTCCAGTACAGGCCCAGAACGATAAACCATCCTGCATCCACATCCTGAATTTCTCCCTCCAAAAAAGACTTTGAAACAACTTAGGTTCATAACTGGCACAATTTGTAAATCTGTAAATGAACTCCGTGAACATGTATCAAAGGAAGGCCACTGCATACCCTGGTTATATTACAAACCTCTGCGCTTAATTGTTTAAATTGAGTTAATTGAACTAATTGGAGTCACTCCACCTTCAATACAGACCAACAACGGCAGCTCTATGTCCTTTTGTTCATGTGACCACTGTTGTCAGTATCCAAGACCTGCCTTGCTTGACCTTTCGTCCAACATTCGAACAATACTGAGCCACAAATTAGAACATGGCTGTTTTTTCTGTAGGTTCAAAGGAGCTTAAGCTCCGGGCACAAATGCCACCTTCATCCTGAGCCAACAGTGGACCAGCTTTAAGCCACGGTATGGAAGCCATCTTTGATATTTTTGTAGGTCATCATCTACGGAATGCAAGACCTGCAGGAATCTCCTGGACGCGTGTAGCCCATGTACAGGGGCCGTCAGAGAGTCAACTCTGGCCCTGTGGTGCCAGAAGAGTCAAGCTTGCAGAGACTGAGCCAGACAGCCGGAAAGCACACATTACGCCAGCCCTGTCTGAAACGGTGCCAGAGCCATTTCTAATACAGCTGGGGTAGAAAGGAAAAAGCAGCGTCTGTTTGATCTGAACCTTTTCGATATGTTTATTTCCTATTTTGGCCCACTGAGCACAATAAATGAGGTCCTCAGCAATTTTACTTCAAGATGTTTCCTTCTATGCCTCACCCCCCACCTCCCTGCACACAGACTGCCAGTCCAGAGCTGAAATATAATTACCTGAGCGAGCCGGCGCTGCTAATCGGGTTTTGATCTGAAAGCTGCATTTGTTTCTTTGGGATCGGGCCTTTCGGTAGGCGTGATCCCGCCGTGCTCCGGCTGCCTGCTGCCTGGAGATAAGTAAGCGTCCGCGCTCCCGCTGGAATCGCTGCCCCTGCTCCGGGGCCCTGATAACACAGCAGCAGGAGCAGCAGCCACAGGAACGGAGCCGGGCTTAGCATCAGCAGAGGGGACTGGGTGCAATGGAGGTCCCCCTGGGTGCAGTCAGCCAGCATGCCAGCTCCCATTCACCTGAGCCCCCCTCTACAGTCCCTGGAAGGAGGCACGAATTCCCAGTTCATCCGTTTGCTCCGTGAAACTGGCTTTCCTCTTTTTCCATGTGTATATATACATTGGAGCAGGGAGATCCCCAGATAAGATCCGCTGGGAGTGAAGCGCGTCAGAAACACAAAGGGGTTTGATCTTGAATTCCGATCGCTCTGGTAACATCCGAGTTTTCCATCACAGGCACCTGCAACCATGACAACGAGGGTTACAGCAGCCTCCCAGTGTGGGATGGTGTGCCTGTTGGAAAAAGAAGAGCTTTTGAACCCTGGCTCCCCAAATGGACGATCTCGGAAGTTATCGGTTTACTAAACGCATGAAAAGGGATCCCCTTACACTCTGATCACGCAACAGTCTACAATGTTGACGTGGAACTGTGCTCGATTTCACATAAAATCCACCCCACTCAAGATACCAGGAGTTATTCATATGAACCCTGAAATTTACTTTAACATCCTTCCCTTTTTTTTCTAACTCCCCCCAAAAGAAACAAGCTCGTAGCCTGCATGAGGAGTCAGGCTGAAAGCCTAAAACAATCATTTCAGTTTGATCCATATACTGTTTTGATAAGCCGATGCAAAAAAAATGGATAGAAAAGGACAAGGCAGCAGGATGTGTGAAAACAATAAGGTGATTCATGAGCGTTTTAAAGGTGTCCTGTCAAATGGAGAAAATGTGAGAGAATCCAGGGTCTGGAATGTAGATTAGACGGAAGGAAGAGTAATCAATATGCAGATGAAATTACAGGAAATATGATTAGACTTCCATTAGGCAGTCAAGTATGCTGAGGGATTTCATTCTGTTAGGCATCAGACTCCAGACTGACACCAGTGAGTTGAAAGATGGCCTGAATGTGTCCATGATGAATCACTGCGAAAGCAACTTCTTTTATTATTCCAATAAATGGTGCTTTCAAAGTCAGTGACAACTCAAGGACTCCAGTCCTGCCAGTATTATGAGTCCCTTTAGAGCAGCAAGGGTTTTAACAACAGGGGGACATCTTGCATTGCTCTAATTAAAGCAAACACCAGGTTTATAAAAGCCATTGAACCTACCAGCATGTCTTTGGACTGGGGAAAACCCACGTAATCACAGGAAGAACATGCAAACCGCATGCAGACAGCACTCCAGGAATTGAACCGAGGGCCCCAGTTCTTGAGGCAGTAATACTAACTACAGATGCTCTTCTGTGCTGTAATTTATCATGAATTTCTCAGTAGGTCATTTACAAAAGATTCTCCTTCCTCTCCGTCATGAACGGAGATAGAGACCCACAGAACTCAAGTCAAAGCGCTTGGTGAAATAACGAAGAAGAAGAAAGGGGGAATTTGTCTTTTCTAACGGCTTGGCGACTCAACAAAGAGCTTTTTCTTTCCGTCTTCCATTACAAACCCAGTTTCTGACCCCAGGCAAGGAAACACCCTCATCTGAACTTTGTTGTGGTGTGCCTAATGCAACAGAGCATTCAATGGGGAGCCTCTCGTCCGCTGGCTCCCAGCTGTGGCTGCTCTGGCCGTCAGACACAGCCAATGCTCAGTGGATACTGAGTGTGTGGCTACGGGCACACTAATCCAACTTCAAGGCAGGAGGCAAGGCTGACTGTAGGACTGACTGGGCCCATGTATGGGTTGAAAATGTATGTGGGGAGGGGGCAGAATTTTCAGTGCCAAGAATACAAAGATGGACTTTCTACTGCCCTGCCCCCTCCCTCCCTCTGTTCCCATCTTTACATTTTTCAGGCTACTGCACATGCAGACAAAAAGGCAGCCGGGGGCTGGTACTATGTGCATGATGTCATGATGCATTTATTTCTGGAGCCTGATCAGGGTTTCAGAGTACGACTGGTGCAGGGAGCTGGACGGACTACTGAATGCAAAAGACCTCCCTTGCAGAGTGAGTAGTCCAGCAGGCCTTGCTCTAGTTTACATTCATAAAACTGCAGCAGTGAGCTTCAATGCACTGCGCAACCCTAAATTGATCCCCCCCTTATCTGCACATTTCCTTCATTTTTGTTTTGCCCTTGTCAGCACTGTATGAAACCAACTGAAGAGCCATTTTTAGATCTCTTTTAGGTTCCCAGGCACCATGTTCTTATCCTCCTCCCATATAAATAGCTCTGTGAGTTGACTTGTAATAACTTTTTGCACGTGTGCTTCAGATTAGCTGGGGGATTAATCTGAAGAAATTAAGAATATGTGGGCACAGAGCGCCCCCTGCTTCGCTGCACAGACAGCCTCAGTGTGTTAAAGGGAGATGTGAAAGTCTGAGAACCTGCTGTGCATTGTGGTGCTCTCTCTTTCTTTGGTGTTTCACAGGGCGAACCCTCTTCCTGTCCCCTGACGGCGATGGGCAGACTCATTATAAACCACCTCATTAAAACAGACCATCTCCTGATGGACAATCTGCCAGGCACCGCCAACATTCATTAGCTCCTGTCTGGGCACCTAGAGAGGCAGAACACCTGGACCACAAATCCCACTGATAACTAAAGCACTTAGAGCAGGAAAACACATTAACACCCCCCCCCACTGGCCTGCATGGGACAAGAAAGAGCTCTGCAAATTGACAACAACAACTCTCACCAAAGGCCCTCTTTGTCCATGGATTGTAATAACGAAACTGTACCATCTGCATTTAGAAATGATTGACCATCTTTTTTTTTTTAAAAAAAAAAAAGGAATTTCTGGTTTTAAGTCACCATCTGGGTAACAACTCTAGATAATCAGACAAGTCCTTTGCCAAGCAACATGAATGGTACTGCACACTGTTTCTGTTATCATTGTCCTCAACAGCTTCACTGCAGTTCTGGTTGTTGTTATGAATATTAATGGCAGTAGCATTAGGCTTAAACAATAGCTGCAGTGTTGTTTTCGGTAATATTAGGGAGCTCTGGAGGAGTTACTGCTGGAGGAACCTAATGGAAGAAAAATAAACTGCTCAGTGACACTCATGTTTGCATGTGCTATTTGCTCTGCTGAGGTGACAGTGTGTTTTGTTATCCCTCTGATGTGCAATTTACAATCAAACTCCTTTCCTGTTGCTCCCTTTCACCATTCCTCTGCAAGGAGACCACAGTGGAGGTTGGACACTCCTTTGGTGTTAAACCAGATAAAATTCACAAATGCAGGGGTAAAGGAGTCTTGATTAATTATTTTATAATTCATTAATTTGTTTATTGCTAGAAGGCATCATTTTGCTGATACTCAAGGTATGTGTTTGTTACAATATGTATTATGAGCAGGTCACAAATCTTTTGCTTGAATGTATTGTGCCCACATAACTGAAGTTCTCCATCTTGTTTTAGAATCCCAAGGCATTTGTGCGTGTTAATTTGTACTTTTGCATGTTACACTAAATAAATAACAACATTATGAAAAATACTGATGTTGACAGCTGTGAGGAGCCTTTCTAAAGCAGTGACAAACTTGTGTGCCATATTCCACACTCACTGGCCAAAATATTAGCAACCCCCACCCCCAGTCAAAGATGCAGGCCATGAAGAGCCTGAGACAGACTTCGATCCCCAGACTTTCTGAACACACAGTATCACAACCTCGACTGAAGGTGACCCAGCTAGAGGAGCTGGGGGATGGCTCAGTGGCTCAAATGGTAATATGCTTGCCTGAGCATTAGGTAGAGTTCTGTGACCTCAGGTTCGAGCCCGGGTCAGGTCACTAACTGGGATGCTGGGATGTCTGGGAATCCCGGAATGGTGGTGAACAGTTGGCCGAGAGCTGCAGAGGGTGGGGAAGGGGGATTAGTCAGCTAGAGAGGTCTTGGATGTTAGCGACAGTGACCCCCTGTGGCCTCCCAGGGACTTGCAGGCTCACGGGGCTGTTGGTAAACAGCCTCTCCTGCAGGGGGCAGTGTGGCACCTTGGATGCCTTTAAGACAAGCGGCTCAGAGGTGGGTGGATCGGAGGGCGTTGCCCCACCTTTCTCGTTCTCTCCTCCCTGTGTGCGGTTGTGGGGTTCGTGAGCTGGGCATCAAAATGTGAAAAACACATGATTAGCTCTTCCAGGCTGGGTGGATATAAGGAGAACAATTGGAGACGCATACATTAAGAAGAAGAAGAATGGGGGCTGCAAACAGATCAGAATTTTGCAGAATACAAGCTACGTCCTCTGCTGTGTTTGCAGCAGGGGGGGGGGTCCTAATATTTTGTCCAACAAGTGTAGCACTCCTGGCGAAGAGTGAAAGAGCCCCAGAATGAGCGGAAAAAGCAGACCGCGGTAAAATAGGGGTTCAGAAATTAACGAAGCGGTATGCTATTGAAACTGAAGGGTTAACACCTTCACTGCAAAACACAGCTAATATTTTATTAATAGTAAGTGCAGCAATCATCAAGATCCTGACGGTTTGCTAACCTGAATATCCGCTGGCGGCACGCTGCATAATGACATCCAAACAGCTAATGAATACATTAGAGATGCAGAGAGAAAGATTTCAGCGCAACATCAAGGATGAATAACATAATTGCCTGAAGGAGCAATTGCAGGGAAAACAATTTCAGCTTTGCTGCTTGCATGTCACCACAGGACATGCTTTTGGTTTTCCTGCTTGTTTTTTTTTTGGGGGGGGGGTTCTAGACAAATTTAAAGTTGTCGCCTTCAACTATTTTAGGATATCCCACGCCCAAACCCAGTCCAGAACCTTAAGGCTAAACATAACTTTAAATCTAACTCTAAGTTTGTGCCATTATTGAGCGTAATCCAGCTTTTCTCCCTAAACCTTATTGTGACTCTAAATATAACTCTACTCTGTTGTTCACTCCAATGCTAACCCCACCCCAGCTCTGACAGCTGGGAATAATGGATACCATTGTCAGGCCAAACAATGGATTCCAGTCTAGTGCAGAGTGCCGGATCGTCATGGCACAGGGCCACAGCCGTCAAGTGGCTGGACTCTGTTATTGATGCAGTCTGTGCCTTCCTTGCTCAGTCTTGCACTCTCGGGCTGAGCTCTGCTCTGCTGCCTGACCAAGGGAGGGAGGACTTTGATAGCAGTCCGCCCGGCCTCTTCCCCGTCCATTTTCATCGCTCCTGTGGTGCTTTCCCAGGGTCTACTCTTCGCTGTGTTACAGCCCACAGTCAGGAGTGGATCAATGCTGAATCCGAGACTGCCCCGGCCATCTCTCCCGCACTGGTCGGCACTGACCTCCTTTCCGACCAGTGCCGGGCATTTCCGGCACCTCCTTGGACTTGCTGAGGCTGAATTTTACAGTGCCCGGTGCAAGCAAAGGCACTGTGCGCTTCCGCTGGAGATTAAAAATAGTTAAAGGCGTCTTACAATCACAATTACAATCAGTAGGCTTTTTATTGAAGTTAAAATCGGAGGAAAGCAGTTTTGAAAATTCATGGACGTGTGCCCTCTAGCTGTGCTGTAAAGGAGGGATGGTAGGTGAGATGGACACTTGGGAACCTCCAATAAAAGTGAACGCAACTGCTTGACAGCACCTGAGACACTGATCCCTCCAGCAGGGGGCACTGTGACATCAAACGTATTCTAATGCTTCTTTCTCCTGCACTTCTGGCATTTTAAATCATGAAATCATGAAGCACACTTTCAAAACAATAAACACCCATCTAAAATGGCCACATCTATGATGTGTTCTGTTCAGGATTTGAAATGGCTTATATTTCAAAAGGAAATGTTAATGACTTCTGCGTTCTGAGATGCTGTTTTTGACATTTTGGAATCACTTGCAAGGAGAAACTGGTATGCAATGGTTTTTTTTTTCCTAACCGCAAACCATCTATCTAAATGTCATTTTGCTGCAATAAAGGTCTCCCACGAAACAAAGATCCTTAGGCATGTACTGTAAGATAGGATCTCAGAATAACCCTGTCTTTCAATACCTTCACCAAGTCACAAGGGCTGAGGGCCAGACAGAACTAATGACATCAAGCAATAAAGTGTGTCCCAGGAAGATCTGCTTTTGCTGTGTTGAGTGGCCATCTTGCAGCACTGCAGTCTGGCCTCGCTGATCAGCATCAACGCATTGGGATGGGCTTCTATCAGCAACCTTGCCTGGGCTAAATTTAGCCTGACCTTGAGGATCAGCAGGGCCCCCCTTGGGATCCACAGCACAGCCCCTCCGCTGTTTGGAGCCTGCTCACTCCGGCATCAGCACGGGGCCCACAGCTGTCACTCAGTATTAACAGAGCACGCGGGCTGACAGAAAACATCCCCTGCCCGAGCCAGGGCTCTCCGGCCAGCGATCGGACGGCCGCCCAGGTGCAGTGGACGAGCAGGCCCGATGCAGGCGTAGATATGTGTGTAGCATACTCCAACGGCAGCGTTAATAAGCCCAGGCCCTGACCCGCTCACACATCCGGCTGAAACTGGTATGTGAAGGTGCTGGGCAAGCACACTGTGAACTGGAGAAAGTGGCTATCAAACATATAGATGAACAGTACCTCTGACAAGCCTGGAATCTCCAGGCGCCTCTCAGCCACTTTGTCAAATAGCTCACTTGTAAAACACATGTACTGAAGGAAGAAGGGTTCAGAGAACAGGGAGAGGACAGTCCAGACAGTGGGCTCAGCGTGGAGACAGTGTGCACATGGTTACAGGCCAGACTGAGGTTACAGTGAGTCCCATGTCATAAAAATAATAATATATAATAATAAACTTTATTTTATATAGCGCCTTTAAAGGTGG